GAATGAGATGGTAACATCATTCATCATCATCATCATCATCATCATCATCATCATCATCATCATCATCATCATCTAAATAGCATTAATTATTCCTTGTCTGTAAAAAAACAGACCAGCAGTAACACGCTGCAGCCAGTCTGGTAATTGACAATTACCGGTCGAAAACAAGCTGACTGGTTTGGCTAGGCTGTTTTTTGTCAGCAAGCAAGAAATAAGATGTGCTTTTGCGGTATGTGAGTATGCTCAGTGACATCACTATGGAAGCCCCACCTCAGAGTGGCATCACAATGAGGCACTTAAAGGATGGACTTGTGCATTGATGTCACTGCTGGGTGGGGCTTGCAATCACTTGTCCTGCTTTGCTGCAGACACCTTCTCTTTCTGAAGTTCAGAGGTATGTCCTATTTTTATGTAACTAAAATATCACTATCTATCTATAACAGGAGGTTTTCAGAAAAATAACCTGAAACCAACTGAGCATCTCAGTGATCATGGAACACTGGCACTGACGGATTCTTGGGGGAATCATAGTCTATATGGAAAGAGGGTAGATGGAAATGGAATGTTGTAGACAAAGGCTTTGATGATTGGTTTCAACAGTGAGTTGAAGATGAGATGCAGAGTTTGCATCTACAGAGGTGTTACATTTCCTTCTGGTCCTACCCTACCCTGTCCTGTCCTGTCCTGTCCTGTCCTGTCCTGTCCTATCTTTCTTTCTTTATTATTGCACTCCTAATTTCACCCAAGAACCAAAGTTTTCTGGGTGGATCACGAAGTTAACAAAAGCATTAACAAATTCTAAAATCATTTTTACAAGTACAAAATATTACAAACAATTAACATGCAACTGACAAAATAGCATGGGAAACATATAAAATCCACAATTCCAGGGTCGAACAGGCACTTAAAAATCAGTACAACATTATATAGCGTTGGAACATTTTTACTTCTTCACAGCAGTGAGCAATATAAAAAATATATCCGTATACTCTCCCAAAGTACAGAAGAAGTAGGGTAATTCAGTGAATGAATCTGCCTTTGTCATAACTAAAATGCACCCACTGAAATCAACAGACTTCTATTAACTATGAATAAGTCTGGATTTGATCCAGTAATTTAAAAAAACAGTGGGTATGTTCCTAATCTTCAGTGGAGAAAAGGTCATAGTCTTGATTCCTTGGGACATATATGTGTTGTGACGCCTCCCATTTGCTATTAATATTTTATTGGCACTAGTAAAATGTTTTTTGTGGTCATGGTTTACTGGGAATGTGGTTTTGTCCTGCCTCTCTTTCACTGTAGTGTCTTCTTTAAATCATTGAGCCACTATGATGATACTGTAGTGACCTATTTCAGAAGGGCAGACTCAGTCAAAACTACCAAACATTTAACAAACAAGTTAAATATTTAAATCATGGCAAGTCACAGTAGTCAAAGACCTAAAGTACTGAAAGTAGTCTATTTAGAAGGTTCATGACAAAAATACTTTCAGGATGAGGGTTCTTCTTTTTAGTCCAATACTCTGACTACCTTTTGTTAACAAGAACTACATATATTCCATGATAAACTTGAGTCAGAACATTGTTTTTAGAGGTAGGACTTCACTGCAGAACATGCAAAACAATCTGGCAAGTGGGAAGTGCGTCTGAGAAGGTATAGATAAATATGCACAGATAATTGTAAATATCTATACATGTGTGTGTAGCTCCCAGTCTAGCTACTCTTGGGACCAAAAATGTTATCTCACTATGCTAGAAAGCTGAGATATACAACTTTTTCCAAGCCTAGAGCACCCTTGGTTTTCAATTGGCCTGCAAAAGTAGTGTGTGGGGCCAAGACAAAAACTAAATTTGATTTAATGTAATTTATACTACATTTTCCTCTTCTGCCACATTAAACATTACAGTAAGGAAACAATTTCTGGAAAACTCTGGGGACTGCACCCAATGGTTTCTAGGAACTCATGTTTCAGAGTTTCTGCTTTAGCTCCAGGAACATTAAAAGACTCCAGTGAAGTCAACCAACATAACCTGATTACCAAATTATCTATCTATCTATCTATCTATGAATGAGATGGTAACATCATTCATCATCATCATCATCATCATCATCATCATCATCATCATCATCATCATCATCA